TATCACGCTTTGTTCTACCTGAGAATAGCCCTCCTATAGGGAAACAAAGTTGGTCAGTATGTGATTGCCAACCAAGGCCTAAAGTTTTAGTCGGTTCAAAGCCACCAATATTCAAATCAAGCGGAGAAATATCATTTTCACTAACCAGTTGAGATTCATTCGACTTCCACTTTCGCAAAACCATATGAGCTGATGCAAGTGTGGAAGTCACTTTACGGCGCAAATCTGTAACCTCGTTAATATCATCCCCTCCCGTTAGCAAGTCATCAACGTAAAAATCGTGAATGATCACTTGAGCAACCTTGTCATCGGTACACTCTAAGCCTAATTGTTGGAGGCACCTAGTTGCCAAAAAGGGAGCACTAGAGGTTCCGTAAGTCACGGTGTTAAGTTGATAAGCTTGAAGCTGTTCTGAAGGGTTATCACGCCAGACAATTTGTTGCAAATAGCGGTCATCGGGATGAATGACTATTTGCCGGTACATTTTCTCAACATCAGCTGTGAGAACGTATTTGTGTAGCCGAAAGCGTAAAAGAATGGACAAAAGGTCGTCCTGTACCACGGGACCTACCATCTGTATATTATTCAAGGAAACACCCGAAGAAGTCGGACTGCTAGCATTGAAAACGACTCTTAATTTAGTAGTAGTACTACTTTCCCGCAGCACACCGTGATGTGGTATAAAATGCATCTTACGTGGTAAATTATCATTCTCACATTTCTCCATATGACCCAGACTTTCATACTCTGACATAAATTCTTTATACATTTCATAGACCTGAGATTGACCTGCTAACCTGCGCTCTAGCGATAGTAAACACTTTTTAGCTCGTGGCCAAGAATCACCTAATACGTCAGGATTATGTTTTAAGGGTATCCTCACGCAAAATCGACCATTTGCCAGTCGCGTGGTGTTTTTTTAAAAAGTGTTCTTCGCATAATTTTTCTTCGTTTGAATAAAGAGACGCAGGGCTTACCTCTTCGAGGTGCCAGAAGCGTACTAATTGTTTTTGTATATCTTCATCTAAATCTTTACTAGCCTCATCTTGAAATATTCTTGTAAAATTACATTTAATAAAGTTAACCCCTTTCTTTACATATCTATAATCTATCGGACCTGATACTAACCATCCTAAGCTAGTTTCACAAAGAATCGGCTGACCGTCCCCTAATTTTAATCTCTGCGTTCCTATTAAGTCCCAAAAGACATCAGCACCTATAAGCATGTCAACGGGAGCAGGTGAGTGAAAATTAGGATCTGCCAGAGAAATATTAGATGGAATTTTTAAGTTTGACAAATTAACATATCTAGTAGGTACATTTTGGGTTATTGATGGTAGGACAAAACAATGAAGATTACTAGAGAAGTTATCATTCAATGATTTTATCGATACCTTACAAATCTTCTTGATGTGTGCCGAAGCATTATTAATACCGACTACCGACTGATTTACATTTTGAGCGGGCAAACCTAGCCTTTGATATAACTCTTCAGTTATTAAACAAGCGTTACTGCCACTATCAAGAATAGCACGAGCAATATATGGACAACCATTCTTACCTATAACTTTAATTAATGCCGTCGATAACAATACGTCGCCTTGTTCACTACACAATGCAGTGCCTACCTTTGCGGATAATGACAGATGTGCGTTAGAATTGGATGACAACTGTGAGCCTGTCGAACTGTTTGTTTGTTCGAAATGACCTTGCATAACGGGCTTATTATTACCACTACTCGTGTTAGATGTATTAATATCTGTAATTGGTTTTGACTGGTAATCTGCGACGTGCACGAGAGTGTTATGCTTTCGGTGGCATATTTTGCATCCTGGCTTTTTGCAGTGATTTGCATAATGTCCTGAATTAAGACAATTGAAACATACTTTATACTCTGGCAGTAACTGTAGACGCACATCGTTACTTAATCCAAGAAACTGAGGACAACTGCTTAACTTATGGTCACCCTTACATTTAGGACACAGTTTGGCGGAAAAGGCCGAACCGTTTTTATTACCGGTATCCCGAACTGAAACCATTGCCTTAACTTTTGGAGCATATTTTATAGAAGAATTTAAACGGTTAGTAGCACCAGAATTAGACATTTCTAGTGTTTCGATTAAATCGGCTCGATTTTTTAAAAACATCAAAAATATATCGAACGTAATAGGTGTATCTTTCTCCAAACGACCTTTAGACTCTTCCCATTCACGATATGTCTTAGCATCTAATTTTTGAGTAATAATATGAATGAGAAGTGTGTCCCATTGTTTAGTTGGCTCACCGAGAGATTCTAGTGCACGTAAATTTTTATTTATTTGGTCAATAAGACGTTTTAAGTTGACAGACAATTCTTTATTAATTGGTGCTATATTAAATAAGGCTGTCACGTGATTTTGAATTAGTAGTCTTTTATTATCATATCTATCACATAATATAGTCCATGCGACGGTGTAATTAGCTGCCGAGAATTCGATTGACTGTATTACCACAGCAGCGGGCCCTTCCAACGACGCTCTCAGATAGTGAAACTTATTTATGTCATCTATCTCGTCATTTGAATGTATGAGGCTCATGAACGTGTCATGAAACTCTAACCAATTATCATAAGAACCATTAAATTTAGGTAGTTGAATAGTGGGCAGTTTAACAAATTTATGATTGCCGGAATGAGAGCCACCGTCACTGCTTACGTCATCTGACTTAATGCAATCTGCTAAGATCCTTTTTGCAAGAGAAAGCGATTTAAAATACAGGGATTCAAAATCAGTTCGTTCTGATATCTGGGCGTCTATATTATCAGTATTACACTCGATGGATAATTGTACCTCATCATATCGTTCATACATTGACTCAATCCTACTAATACGTAATTGCAACTCATTTACCTCAGTAGCAGCCAATGAAGATACCTTCAGTGAATTTAAATAATTTGAAAAAGCAGTTATTTGTCCCTTGTAACTAGCTCGTTTCCTAATTTGCTCCTTATCTTCTGGCATGTTGGCTGGTATTGGGAGACTAGTGCAAATGCCTGAAATTTATACAAACAAGAAGTTTATATTTTATAAAATATAATTCATAAGTAGTTTTATACAATTTTGCTTACAGTTGTAAAGAAATGAAAACTAATTCCCTTACTTATTTTTCAAACTCTTAAATAATTAAACAAAATGGTACATGTACTACCTTGATATTTAACTTTATAATTAACAACAATTAAGGGTAACAAATACAATTCAGACCATCAAACAGCTTCACAGGTATGCCTTAGTATGTAATAAATAATATTATGCAATTTTTTCAATTATACACTCTCTTGACTTATTTTTTAAAAAACAGTTTAAACCAATAAAGAGAAAAAAAAAAATTATAATATCGTCAATATAATTTAACTAAGCTTTATAATTTAATTTAATCATGATTTGACGGTTATTAGAAACTATATAAACAATATTAAATGAATTTTAGCCGATTAAATACTTTAAGTTATACGTAATTATTTTATAGGTAATTTGGTACTAACCTGATAAATTAGCAGTCGATTTACACAAAATACTACCTGATAATGAGTGCTGGGTTAAATAAATTAAATAATAGTCCAATATCTAAGGGGCTAAGACTCCAGATTTCTTGGTTAAATATCTTCACTCCCTCGGTGGTATTTCCACAACGAATATTTAAGACTTCCCAAGCGTATTCCACTAAATAATATCTTGTCCAATTACGTTTTTTCAAATCCGGCTTCGATTTAGGACCATGAATAGGAATTTGATCTCTTTTTAATAGTAAAATGCAGTAATTTGCTCAATCGACCTTTACTTGATCTCTAAATTTTACAACGACGACAGGTACAACATTTTTTAAACATACCTACACAGCTTACGGACTAATATTGGCATGAGAACTGCTAATATAATTTGACAGGCGCTTCAACAGTGTTTGTGAAAGGTTTGTCGCAGGCGCAGTAATTTCAAAATGTGGTTTATTGATAGCCCCGAATTTAAAGAAGAGGCTATGTCATGAAAGTCTCTTAGCCTGAAGAAAAAAATAAGGAGAAGATGCTATTTTACGCTGGTAAAGTAACTTTTGTGACAATACATTAATAAAAAGAGGATCGATTTGTTAAACTTTCTTGCTCTATAGAAATGTTTAGTTTTAGGAAGTACATACATGTTGGATTTATATGTTATGTTTTTTTTTATAGTATAATGGTGACAAACGAGCGTACAGTAAAAGCTGCATTAAGGCTACTTAAAATATTCATTGGTGTTTCTTAGATTTACAGGTCTTTTTTTCAAAAACTAGGTATTCTGAGTTATTTACTTCAGTCAATTTATTATCTATGTTTAATTAAATAGATTGCTACAAGCACGGTTTTCAGCCACCTCTTTATTTCTTCCCCTTCGATATGTTAAAACAAACATAGCCACTTACAATAATATAAAATTTTGTCAATCAACAAGTTTAACGGCTGTGACGGCTCCGTGGCGCAGTGGCTTGGCAATGAGTTGTTACACTGGGGGCCGTGGGTTCGAATCACACACGGAACTAGTATTTGTATGGCCTACAAATAGTTGTTACGTTACGGGTCTGAATGTTTGTCCTCGTGCAATTTATGTTTGTAAACTGCCTCCACGATACAGGAGAAAATCCTAGTGTGGGGGTAACGTTTTAAAAAAAATGTTTTGTTAAAGAAAAATTGCACAAGAAGGGTTATTTTAATATCAAGCAATACATGAACGTAAATAACCCCTGGGAATGAGGTGACACCACCATGCTGGTTCTATTAAAATTCAAATAAAATATTATATAAAATAAAAGTAAAGTTATATATTATGTTTTAAAAAATATAATTCAACTGTGTTTCTTGCTGTGCTTGCTGTGCTTGCTTGTGTTCCCTGCACAGAGGTATATTCCGAACCGAAAGTATTACGTAATAATCTATATTGAATAAAAAATATTCTATTATACTCTATTCTATTCTAATTGTCTTCCCACAGTGTATAATTGTCACAGCGGTATGCAGCAACATTGTGTGCAACATTGGCTTCGTATTTGGCTTTCCCGGTATCCTCTTGCCGGCCCTCCATCAACGAGACTCGGATATCCCACTTACAAACGTTGAAGACTCATGGATCGGTGAGATAGAACCTTTTTACTATTTACTTTACATAGCTGTTAGCGGCGACATAAGATATGCAAGATTATTGAGAAGAACATCTCGTCATCCATTACAACTTTTCACAAGTCAAGTGTTGCCCGTCCGAACTTGTTATCGGCCAACTGAAAATCAGCGCTACAAGCTCGCGGCTTATGCTGAGACGGTCCCTTCCACCACTTCTATTCCTTCCATCAATTTTAATTAATCTGTATGTGTGATTGTGTATGTGTGGGTATGTGTTCGCATACATATATATGTGTATTTCTTTTTTCCTGTTTCTTTGTTTTAATAAGTCATTTTTTTTAAATTAAATGTGTCAGGAGATATACTGTGTAGGATGTATGTAGTACACGTAACATAATTAACGCACATCCTGAAAGCAGTTTATTCAGAATCGTTTACTGAATCGATTTCTGTCATTTTTAATATAGGTAATTTTTTATCCTAAAAATAATTAAAACTACGTAAATTACAGTCACACTAAACCTATAAAGTTAAAACAAACTGAAATATCACGGCAATAAAACTTTTAAAAGTGCAGTTTTATTTGTATTAATACGAATTTCGTCATTCAATACACAATAAAGAAAAATGAACCTTATTTCAAGCAGTTTAAAGTCTACAAATACAGAGTTTGGTGAATGCTGGATCGGTTGCGGCGGCCTTTTCCAAAAGCCTCCCAGATCAGCTGATTTGACGCCTCTTGACTTTTTTGTGGGGACATATTAAATCAGTAGTTTATCTTAGTGAGACAACAAGTACCGAGGACCTAAAAATAGGATATTGAACGCTTTTGGAATAGTGAAAAACGACACGGAAGTGCTTTCAAATTAAAATAGCTGTTAAGAAAACGGTCATTAAAATGTATTGAACAAGGTGGTGGACATTTTCAAAGTGTATTAAAAATACAACGTTGCATGAGTGTTTAGGCTATCAGTAAGTTAAGTATTTGATTTTTTAAATTATTGTAAGTATCTTAATTCGTATCTTTTAAACACGCCATCTTTGAATTGTGTTGTCGTATTAGTATCTGTTACGGGCGCAAAATAGTAATACGTCAATTAAAAATAATTAACCAAATCTATCGAGTAGGGTATCAAAATAAAGGAAATTAAAAGGCGATTGCAAAAATATATATAAGTTATGTGTTTAAATTTAATTAGGAATAATAAATTGGGTTAAAGTTTTTAAAAAAAAATGGTAAAAATGTAAAATGGGCCATGTTTGTGTCGGACATCGTGCTATCATATGAAATTTAGTTGTTAAGAGTGTGTTGGGGCACTAAAAAGTCTAAATTTCAAATTAAGCTTAGTAGCAGGCAGGACCCAATTGCAAATTATAAACCGAAAGAAAATTAATGGGTTCCGATTGCTACTAAACTTAATTTGGGTATTTAACTTAGGCTTTCAGCTCATAGTACCTAGTCAGGTCATAAATTTTGTCACATGTTTAATATAAAATAATTGAAACAAGTTTATTCATTATGTAACCATTTATATATCAAAATGAACTTAACAAAACATAGATTCTTATGACACTAAAGTTTATTCAAAATGACCTCCGTGATTTTGAATACAGGCCTTCAATCTGCGCGGCCAGTTGTCTATCGCAGCACGAACGAGGTCCATGTCAATATCGGCGGCTGCCTTAATCAAGGATGTCTTGAGTGACTCCAAATTGGGATGAGGCTTTGAGCACGCCTTTTCCTCCAACTGTTGCCATATCTTGTAATCTAACGGATTCAAATCTGAATTGGAGGAGGGCCAGTCTTCGTGCCGGATGAAGTTGATTTCACGCGCCACCAGTCAGTCTTGTGTGCTCTTCGCTCTATGAGCTGGCGCCGAATCTTGTTGGAATACCCGGTGCCTGTTATTGAACATGGTATGAGAAACAGGTTCCACAAGGTTCGTCAGGACTGTATTTTGATACACAACTGCATTCGTTTTTACACCTTTCTCACAAAAATGTACCTCTGTTAAGCCCCAATAAGAAACTCCCAACCATACCATAAGCGAGGATGGAAAATGACCTCGTTGGACACGCGGAATACGGTTACTCGCTTCTTCACTACTGTGTGCGTACACCTTATCATTTTGTTTGTTGTAGCTCTCTTCTACGGTAAAAATTACGCTGCTACGGTAAAATGCTTACATTTGGGATTTCTTTGAATTCACGCCTTCACAGCTTTTATCACTGCTGGAGTCCTAACAGACCGAGGGCGACCACTTCTTGACCTGTCATCTACACTAGAGTCTTCATTGTATCGTTTGATGGTACGATAAACGAATCTTTTGGTTATATTCAAATTTTTCAGTATGTCATAAATTTGAATTGGCGCGTAACCGCAACGATGCAACGTAATAACTGCAACACGGTCTTCTTTAAGCGTTCACTCCATATTTAAAAATGAGTATAATTCTAAAAAGTATACAGTTTTATTTTCATGAACAATTCGAAATTCGAATCCAATAAACTTTTTTGTCGCCAGCATTCTAAAAGAAAAGTTTTTACTGTGTGACAATACTTATGACCTGACTAGGTATAGTTTGTTAAACCGATGTAGAGTTTACTTTGTTAATACTTTATTTCAATTATGTATCCTATTCTCAACCTTGTTTCGGTCGTTTCAGTGCATTACTTTTAAATTGTCTTTTTTGCAGTCGGGTTTTTGATTTTTGTAATTATTTATTTTATTTAACAACTTATCTCAAACGCTGGTGAGAGGAGGCGTCACTATCAAGTTTTTGCCCCGGTTCAAAAAAATCGTAGATCCAGGGCTGATACATATACTTGCAGCTAATTTTAAACAAAGAATACAACAGATGCGTCACCTCTGAGGACTAAGATGGAATGCCTCACAACTTGTAATTATAATGACTCTCTATACACTTCTGACAGAAACACAGCAAGAAAAAGAATAGGTAAGAAGATGGTACCTGCACTGACGGACTTTTAGAAACAAAAAGGGGCCTGTTAGGTCTCCTTTTGTGTCCATCTATTTGTGGATCACCAGTGGTATACTGGCTTAATTGATAAATACTTCTCACAACCACCATTCACACCTACATAACTATCTTTGCCTTTGCAATTATCATCAGGTGGTCTTCTTGGTTATTGTTTCTCTGTTCTAAATATAACCGACATAGTCAAACGAATCAGTAAGGTAAAGTGACCATGGGCCGGCTATAAACCTCGAATCGCCGAAAACCTATGGGGAAGAAAGCTTCTCGTGTGGCAGTCTCGTACTGATAACTGATACCTGGTAAGACATGCATGGGGTCGATGTATGCATGTGGCTCAGGACCGTGTTTTATGGCATTCCTGGAAGAAAGCCTAATTACAGCAGTTAATTGAAAGACATAAGGGCATACATATAATAAATTCCAACATTTATTATACAAAATGTAACGTAATTAACGTACACCCGCAGACACCCCAATTAGTATATTAATAATAATAATGTTTAATAATAATAATAACGATTGGTCTCCCCTGCCGAGGGCTTCCATCTGGTTGGGTTTTTATTTATTTATGTATTTTTTATGCATTTATTTTATTTTGTTGATATTTATGTATGTTTATCATTTTCATTTACAATTATATATTTATACAGCCCAACCAGATGAGTAAACTATATAGATGCCCCAAATAATAATAATAATATTAATCTTTATTTGCAAGAATATGGTTGTACAATGGTGTTTGAGTATAATTCGTTCTACATATTCTACCTTAGTGGTGTGCAAATATTAATGGTCAAGTAACGTAAACAACAACACTTATCGAATTTAACAACATATATTAATTTAACAAAATATAAAATTATTTAATATTATAATAATATTTGATAATTAATAATAATATTAGTTAATAAAGTATTTATTGAATGTTTCAGCAATTTCCTCTGGTTTCATTAGCAGGTTGTTATTATCTCTAATTTTTTTCAATATGACCAACATCTTTCTTGTTAGTGGCTTTGTTTTTAATCAGATCCCAAGTTGCCTTACATCTGTTTTTAGACCGATAAATATATTTAGTGTTAAAATTCTCTTGCGCTTCCAAAATACATCTCTTTAGTATTTTATTATATTTTATGCATTGCCGTCTTTTAGTTTTCTTGTTGTGAGTGGATAGTCTATATTTAAGATAGAGACATCTTTTTACTATGCAGCATCTTTTGAGTCCTTTAGTTATCCACTTATTTTTTGTTACCTTGTTTACTTTTTTAATAGTGATAAGGGGAAAGCAAAGTTTATAAAAAAGTACTAACATGTCATGAAATTTCTCAAACGCACCATTAGTATCAGTTTCGGTAAAAACCTCACTAAATGACAACGACGAAATACATTCTCGAAACTTATCAATATTATTAGTATTTAAGTCACGTCGTGTTTCAAACCAGTGTAATGGAGCCATTTTCTCTGGGTTATAACAGATATCAAATGTAACACTTTGCGCTGTTTCATGATCGGATAAAGCTAAACAATGTATTTGAGGTTTTACATTTTCTATGTTGCTAACAATTAAGTCTGTACATGATGAATTTCTTGTTGGTTTATTAATGTGATTTGATAAATTATGACAGGTCAATATAGAAAATAATTTTTTTTGCGTTTTTAGTGCTTTTAAGGATGTCTATGTTCCAATCACCGCACAGCCAAATTTTTTTTTTTAAGTTTATGAAATAATAATGATAAATTACTGAAAAACTAATATACGTTTGATGTAGGTGATCTGTATATACATATCACATTTATATCCACTGACAGTATTTTCATGGCGCAGTATTCAAAAAAATATGGCATCGGTGGTATAAGGTTATTCAGTAATTCGCATTGTAAATGTTTTTTGACTAAAATACACGAACCTCCTCTGCGTTCATTACTTCTGGAAAAATGTGATAAGAGATTGTAATTTTTTAATTTTACATTTGACTCGGAGCCATTCCTTACAAATGTCTCTGTAATACATATGATAT